CTGTCCATCCCCGTGATCCTCAGGGTCCCACTGTCTATCCCCGGGGTCCCACTGCCCACCCGCGGGGTCCCGTTGCCCACCTGCAGGGTCCCGCCTCTCCGGGCTCAGCACCGCCTGCAGCCCCCCGGACCCTCCCTCCGGCCCTTGCGGTGCACCCGGCTCTGCTCTGGGTGTGCGGGTCCCCGTGTCACACACAGCGCTGTGCCCGGGGGTGGTGCGGAGTGGGTCCGGCACCGTGCGTGCTCCTGCTGTGTGGGACAGTGTAGAGTCACAGGGCTGTGTGGGACAGTGTGGGGCACGGGGCTGTGGGGGACAGTGTGGGGCACAGGGCTGTGTGGGACAGTGTGGGGCACAGGGCTGTGGGGGACAGTGTGGGGCACAGGGCTGTGTGGGACAGTGTAGGGTCACAGGGCTGTGTGGGACAGTGTGGGGCACAGGGCTGTGCATGGCCCAGAGTGTGGCACAGTCCCAGAGTGTGACACAGTCCCAGAGAGGGGCACAGTCCCGGAGAGGGGCACAGTCCCGGAGAGGGGCACAGTCCCGGTGTGCAGCCCTGGAGAGGGTCACAGTGTAGGACAGTGCGTGGAACACAGCACCAGGCAGAGGGAAAACCCTTTCCTCCATGTCCCCCAGACCCACTCTGGCCATGCACAGACCGTGCCACCCTCTGCACCCCCCAGAACACCCCAGTGACCCCCAGGCCATGTGTGACCACTGAGGCYTGGCAATCCCAGCCTGCCCCGTGCTGCCCCGTTCCCGATAAGGGCTCCCATTCCCGATAAGGGCTCCCGATCCCTGGAGGGGCCCCAGCCGGCTGTGCACACTCAGCACTTTCCCGCTGGCCTATTTAAAGCCGGCCAAGAGCCCCGTGGCCCTTTCTTTCCCTCTCCTGGCACGTCTCAGCCCATCCAGCTGGACTTTCTTCCTGCAGCCATGAGCTCYGGAGCAGCGGCCGGGCCGATCTTTGCCGAGGGCGAGGACTGCAAGGCAGCCTGGAGCAAGGCCATGGCCGGCTACGATGAGCCCGATGCCCACCTGGAGATCATGGGCAAGCCGGTGATGGAGCGCTGGGAGATGCCCTACATGCACTCCCTGGCCACTGTGGCTGCATCGAAGGGTAACRGGGACCCTGTGGGCTTGGGGACGTGTCAGGGGTGCAGCTTCCACCCTGATATGGGGGTGTTGTGCTGTGGRACCCCCATGCAGTGACAGGGGCGGTGGCACTTGTGTGCTCGTGTCAGGGTGACACATTCCTGAAAGGGGATGGGAATGTGGGGAGGGGGTGCAGCCACCTCTTGTTGAGGACCTGCTGTTTTTGGGGCTGTTTCCCAGCACAGGGAGGGTTTAGTGCCTCTGAGGGACATTTTTTGTTCTCGCTGGGATCACCTGGGGGGGATTTGTGGGGGCAAAGCGCTGCTGTGGGTGGCAGCAGGTGACAGGGACACTGTGGGGGCAGCAGGTGACAGGGACATGGGGCTGCTTCTGGCTTCTCCCCCAGTGCCAGCAGCACCACGTGCTTCCAACCTGCACAGAAAAAAAATAACAATTTGGGGAAAGAATGGGTCAGAATTTGGGGCTGGAGGGCTTTGAGGTGGAGAAAACCCAAACCCAGTGTGTGCTGGGATCCATCTGCAGGTGGCCGTGTGCTCGAGGTGGGATTTGGGATGGCCATCTCCGCCTCCAAGGTGCAGGAATTCGACATCGAGGAGCACTGGATCATCGAGTGCAATGAGGGCGTTTACCGGCGCCTGGAGCAATGGGCCAAGGCMCAGCCACACAAGGTCGGGGTCAGGGTGGGCTGTGCCAGGGTTTTGGGGTGTCTGTGACCCCTCAGCTCACCCCTCTGCCCCCCATCCACAGGTGGTGCCCCTGAAGGGGCTGTGGGAGGACGTGGTGCCAACGCTGCCTGATGGGCACTTCAGTGGTGAGACATTCAACTGCGGGACAGGGAGAGGCTGGGGAGGGGTCCCCACGGCAGAGTTGGGGTGCAGCAAAGCCTGGGGCATCCCAGGACATCCCTGAACCATGGAAAGGGGGAGCAGTTTGACCAGGGGGAGCCCTTGGGGTTGGGGACAGGGCACAGCTGGTGTCCCTGGGATTCTAATCCTGGGAGTGGATCCTTGTCCTGGGGATGGATCCTTGTCCTGGGGAGCAGATCCTTGTCCTGGGGAGCAGATCCTTATCCCAGGGAGCAGATCCTTGTCATGGATGGATCCTTATCCTGGGAGTGGTTCCTTGTCCTGGGGTTGGATCCTTGTCCTGGGGGTGTATCCTTGTCCTGGAGCAGATCCCTGTCCTGGGGAGCAGATCCTTGTCCTGGGGATGGATCCTTGTCCTGGAGCAGATCCTTGTCCTGGGCAGCAGATCCTTGTTCTGGGGACGGATCCTTGTCCTGGGAGTGGATCCTTGTCCTGGGGGTGGATCCTTCTCTTGTGGAGCAGCACATCACTGCCCTCCAGGGGTCAGAGACATGGGGGCAATCCGAAATAGGAAAATAACGGTACCAGGCCATGCAGGGGGATTTTCCCGGGACACACGAGCCCCTCAGGGTCTCTCCCAGCTAACGRACAGTTCCCGGTGTTCCCGGGCAGGGATCCTGTACGACGCCTACCCGCTGTCGGAGGACACGTGGCACACACATCAGTTCGATTTCATCAAGGTAACGCCTCGGGGAGCGGCTCTGCGGGGAGCTTGGAGGGGAAGCTGGGGCCGGGAGAGCTGACCTGGCTCCCGAATTCCCGGGGCAGGCCCACGCCTTCCGCCTGCTGCGGCCGGGAGGGGTTCTCACCTACTGCAACCTCACCTCGTGGGGGGAGCTGCTCAAGACCCAGTACAGCGACATCCAGAAGATGTTTGAGGTGAGATTTTCTCCTCCCCAAAGCCCCAGCCCAGCGCTGTGGGATGCACTCCGTGGTGGTGGGGATGYGCAGGAGGGGGCTCAGAGGGTTTTTCCCTCGCTGTCCCTGCGGTGTCCCCTTTCATACCCGGACACTCCCACCCACCCACTCCCCTCCTCTCCCGCAGGAAACCCAGGTGGGGCAGCTGGTGGAGGCGGGGTTCAAGCGGGAGAACATCAGCATGACGGTGATGGAGCTGGAGCCGCCTGCGGAGTGCCGCTACTACTCCTACCCCAAGATGATCACCCCCACCGTGCTCAAACACTGACGGGCAACCCCCGGGAGAGGGGCTGGCCGTGTGCTGATGAGGAGGAGAACGGCTCTGATCTGCTTTGATGGCCCCCAAAGATCAGAGCTGATTCATCCTGAGATGCGTGGAGGTTTGGGATGGAAGTGCTGGATTCCAGTGGAAAAATGGGAAACACCCTCCCTCAGGAGCCCCCTAACCTTTGGGCTCTGTGGAAGAAGATCCCACCCTCCTCTGTCCCTTAAATTCTTGCAATTCTCAGTTAAGCTGGAATTTCAGACTCTGGTTCGGAGCCTTTGGCTGAAGGGGTTCCAGAACCATCCTTTCCCTATAAAAACTGCATCATTTTGAGAAATCACAGGGTGGCTTCCCACAAGAGCTAAATAATCCAAACCAGGTGGGGAAACAGGGCAGTTTGAGGCATTTTGAGGCATTTTGAGGCATTTCAGCTTCTCCTGAAGCAGCTCCCCAGGGAAGTTTCCCAAAACCTTCGGCCAAGCTCCACAGCAGCAAATCCTAACCCAAACACCCCCTCACAGCTCAATAAATGATGTTTCCTCTCTCCCCGGAAGGGATAAAGTCCATTAAAAGGAATGAAATACCCAAACTGCTGCTCCCGAGCGATTTATTTGTCTTTCCAAAGTGTGTTTGTCCCTCAGGCATGACCATTCCTCATCCCAGGCTCCTGGGATGCATCCAGAGCAGGCTGCTTTATCCCTACCCTGCTAAAGGAGCTCTGCATTCAGTTTTATCAATCACATTCTGWTTTTAAATATCAATGTTTTACTTTTTACAGAAACAGAATTAATTTCTGACCCCTGTGCACACAAATATTATAGATTTGTTAGATCCTGTGTAGGAGTTATCAACAAGGAGCAGTAAGGGATGAGCTCAGGGAGAGCTCAGGGATCACCTGGACATGTGCTGGTCTCAAAACTTCCCAAGAAWGTTATAAAAATAAAGGCCTTTATGTCACAATTTGACATAATTTACCTTCACAGACAGGTTGTTCAGACCAGAAACAAACTCAGCGAGCGCTATCAAATTCAGCTCCAGCTTTTTAGCCCAGYTTTTCAATACCTCAGATCAGATTAAAACCAGAAAAGCACCTGGACCAGGTAGAGTTTTATTGGAAGGCGCGTGAGGAGCCGGATTTGTGCGTAACTGTGAGCGGTGCCCGGGGGCAGTGAGTGGGGACATAAATAAAGGCTATTTCCTGTACCAGATCTGCATCCTCCTCTCCCTCTTGATTTTCCTCTGCAGCTGCAGGATCCCGTAGAGCAAAGCCTCAGCTGTGGGTGGGCACCCTGAGAGGGAGGAGAAGGAAAAAGGGAGGGAGGTCACAGGGCTGCGAGCTGCAGGAGAGGTGAAAACCTCAGGATTTATAACCCAAAGCTGACTTCCCTCTGGCTTTGTGGCTGGCACAGGCAAGAGTGTAAAAAACCTAAATTAACRGTGTTTATCAAGAATATCTTTATCAAACATAGCAATTCTTTGATTTCAGAGCAGGAATATCCAAACCCACCTTCCCCCACCACAATCCCTGAAGCTGCTGCAGCTTCCCTACCACTCAAACAGGAAAACTTTTCAAACCTACACCTTTCAAACCTACACCTTTCAAACCTACACCTTTCAAACTACACCCAGCTCAGCCCAAATGCAGCGAATTCCCCTCTCCCTGCCCTGCTCACAGGTGGAGCTGCCCCTTGTACCTGGCACGTAGATGTCCACGGGCACGATGCGGTCACAGCCCCTCACCACGGAGTAGGAGTAGTGGTAGTAGCCCCCGCCGTTGGCACAGCTGCAGGACAGGGACAGGGACAAGGACAGCTCAGGAGGGCRAGCAGGAGCCCAAGGGAAGGTGGCACCAGCCAGGTGGGCACTGCCAGGCCCAGTGCCATGAGCTGAGAGCTCACAGGGAGGGACTTCCAGGTGCCACTGTGGCCCTTCAGCCCCRTCACGAGCCCTGCCTGGCACGTTTTTAGCTGAATCCAACCCAACTGAACAATTCCYATCACCCTCACAAAGCAGATTTCACAGCCTTTCCTCTCTGCTACAAAATCTTTTGTTTTGCCTCAGAGCTTTCCCAGAACTTTTCCTCTTCCAGCCTGGACCAGCCAAGGGATGAGAAAGTTGTAAGAATCATGGAATCATTCAGGTTGGAAAAGACCTCTGAGACCACGAAATYCAACCAAGACCACCCCATGGAGCAGATTCCAACCAAGATTCCCCCATGGAGCAGATTTGAAATGAGTCCTCCATGGAGCAGATTCCACACTGCACAGCAGAAGCATTTTGAAAGCCAAAAGCAAACTCTGRGATTCCAGACATACACCAATCCCAGGACTCTGGCAGCTGCAAACCCCCCGGATCTGTCCCTGGAAGGATTCACACAAATCATTCCCAGAAGGAGCTTTTCTGCTCTGCTCTACAAAATCTCTTAAAGAACATGGAAACACAAATGAGTAAAAAATTCCTCTCCCTCTTCCTGATTCCCCCCACGGCACCAGGGATGTCCTGGCACTCACCTCCCCATGGACACCACGTAGCGAGGCTCTGGCATCTGGTCATAGACCTGYGGGACAGGGATATTTGGGATCATTCCCACCTCATCCTGCTGCACCCCAGTGGCCCCACAGTCCCAGTGGCCCCCACAGCACTCAGTGGCCCCCACAGTTCCCAGTGGCCCCATGGTCCCCATGTTCCACAGTGGCCCCATGTTCCCCAGTAGCCTCCACGGCCCCCAGTGGCCCCATGGCCCCAGTGGCCCCACAGCCCCCAGTGGCCCCACGGTCCCCAGTGGCCCCACAGTTCCCACTGGTCCCCACAGTCCCCAGTAGCCCCCATAGCCCACAGGGTCCCCAGTGGCCCCACAGCCCCCACTGGTCCCCACAGTCCCCAGTAGCCCCCACAGCCCCCAGAGCCCCCACAGTCCCCAGTGGCCCCCATGTTCCACAGTGGCCCCATGTTCCCCAGTAGCCCCATAGCCCCCAGAGCCCCCACAGTCCCCAGTGATCCCACAGTCCCCAGTGACCCCCACAGCCCCCAGTGGCCCCATGATCCCCAGTGGCCCCATGATCCCCAGTGGCCCCACGTTCCCCAGTAGCCCCACGTTCCCCAGTAGCCCCCATGGCCCCCAGTGGCCCCCACGGTCCCCAGTAGCCCCCACAGTCCCCAGTACCTTGCGCAGCGCCGGGGCCATTTTGTTGGTCAGGGTCCCCGCCACGATCATGACATCAGCCTGGCGGGGGCTGGCCCGGAACACGACCCCAAAGCGATCCATGTCGTAGCGAGGGGCTGCCATGTGCATCATCTCCACAGCACAGCACGCCAGCCCGAAGGTCATCGGCCACAGGGAGCTCTGAGGGGACACGGGGGACAGGCAGAGCTCAGGGACAGCGCGGGTGACACGTGGGATGAGAGGCCACCAGGCTGAAAGGGAAAGCTCAAAGGGTGGGGAGCAAAACCCCAAAGCTCTGGGGAGTGGGTACAGAAAGAGCTGAGTGTGTGGCTTGAATGTGGCCAGAGCTGCTCCTCTGAGCTTCTGACACTGCTAAAGCCACCTCAGAGCCACATAGGGACAGCTCA